ATAATTTACAGTCAAAAAGTGTAAACTGATATTCCCAGAATTCCCTGCATGACACTCCACATTTGAAAGTATTTTGTTTAAATAATCATGTTTTTTTTAAGTTTGTGTTATTAGTTATGTATATTTGGGCTTTATGTTGCATCTTCTGTTGTTTAATGAAAGTTGAATGCATTATTTAAGTATCATGTGTGTTACCATGATGGGTGTTTAGTGTTTGCATGAATGACTCTGTGCACCTTCTATATATCAGTATAACCTTCTGCTTGTGGCGAAGCTACTTAGCTTTGATTCTTCATGTGGCTTTCTCTTTTACCAGCTGCATTATTATGGTGGTTGTCAGTATGTTAAAGGTACAAAACAGATTTTAATAGCAGTGTGCATTGTTGAATTTACTGGTTTACAGTCAAATTTTCTTGTTTTTTAAATTACAGTGTTATACTGTAAAATGTACAGTTTTGGGCCGTAAACGTGTTTACAGTTTTCTGTATTTTTTACAAAATTATTCAGGCAACCACAGCTGCCAAAATTATTTTGTAAAAACTACAGCATTTTTTTAACAGTGTAATTCTTAGGTATTGTTTAAGTATTTTGTAAACACCCCGTGATGCGCCGCTGCAAACTAAACGCCTCAAACTGTTGAACGAGCTTGTTTGCTTTGCGCAGTTTGTGTAAGGGGCGTTCATTTCAATCACTGGATTCTTGGAGCCAGTGAGTGCAAAAGCATGATACCACAAGGTCAACACCGTCTGAAAAGTCCCTCTCATAATGTTTGCTAAGTAATCAGTCTGTGGAGCAGTCATGGGCTCTGACGCGCAGAAGGAGAGACTCCGCGCGCTCTTCCACGCCTGTGATGTGGATCACTCCGGACGCATCGAGAAATGGGAGTTCGTCAGAATATGCTCCGAGCTGCGCGTGCGATCCACTGAGATAGACGCGCTCTTCGCCAGACTTGACACCGACAAAGACGGCACGATCATTCTGGAGGAGTTCATGGATGGGTTTCAGGAGTCACACTTGTTGAAGAACGAGGAGATGAGCAGCGAACACACCGGGGAGAGTTTCTCTGCCGCCTGGGAGGATTTTAAATCCCGCCTGGGGGATCAGCTCAAATTCATCCCCAGGTAAACCCCTGGCTGTCTTTGCAGTAGCTGTCAACTTTCAGTAGCTGGAAAATTTCTTAAAGAAAGTTCTTAAGGTTTTATAGGACATTTTCTTCTAACATGACACAAAAACTTGGGAAACACACACACACACACACTCACACACACACAATTGTAATATTTATAATTGTTAGTAATACAATCGCATCCAAAATAAAAGTTTTTATTTACATAATATATATGTGTGTGTACTGTGTATATTTATTATGTATATATAAATACACACACTTACAGTATATATTTTGAAAATATTTACATGTCTATATTTATATTCGTATAATTTATATTATATATAAATATATTTAATATATAAACATAACATATTTTTCTTAAATATATACATGCATGGTTGTGTATTTATGTATACATAATAAATATACACAGTACACACATTAATTAATTAAACGCGATTAATCATTTGACAGCACTAATATATATATATATATATATATATATATTCGTTCCTAATGGGAATTCTTTAATAGGATTCCAATATAACACAAGTTTTGTTTTTTGTTTTTTTACGATTACATATTACATACATATATATATATTTTTATGATTACATATTTTCATAATATTCCTGACTATTATCCCATTAGGACATTTAAGTTTAAAGGACATTTTTAGGATTTAACCTAATTGCCTTGGGCTGTTATTATGAAAGCAGTAATTCTTATTAATGATGTTTATTATCTAACAAAAGGAATGATTAAGACATTTTTGTGGGGTTCCCATTGGAATTTCGATTGCAATTCGGAAAATTATTCTAATTATAATATAATTAGGACTTTGTGTGTTAAAATATTTATGTGTGTGTGTGTTTGTCTTTACACGCAAGGGTATTCATAAAATTCCATTTGACTATGATTTTGAGTTGGACAAATCTAAGCTTGAATGTGTTGACAAATTGTATTCATTAGCAATAAAATTATACACACACACACACATACACATACATACATGTAGTAAAATACTGTTTGTTAGTAATACAATTACACTATATATATATA